GGGGGGGGGGGGGGGCTTTGGAGCTTGTTGTACCCAAATAGTAGGATCCTTATGATAAGGACCCCCAAAATAACGTACCCCTATCCATGCTTAAGCATGCTTAGATTTATTTAATGCTACTGCTAATGCTCATGGCAAAGTATCTTATGTTGTGTTACGCAGTGCTTTGTTATGGTATGCATGTAGGCATGCATTTGCATGGAGAGGTGTGTATGTGTGTGCGGATGCAGTCAGTGTCCTAAGGCAGGCAAAGCTTTTGTTTGCAAGCCTCGTCAGCAGACTCCGTCAGTGGTTTCATCACGTGTCAAGTGTGTCCAAGCATCAGCCTCTCCTTCGGAGCCGGCAGGTGGGCGGGCCAGTGACCGGCAAAAGAGCTGCAAAGCAGCGAAAAGCTCTGGAGGCAGGAGGAGCAGAAATTTAAAAAGCCAATTGTCAACTCCACAGGATAAGTTGCAGCCGGACAGTCTTTGGGTCCTCCATCAGGTACACAAGCGGCAACATCAAGATGTTGATGCGGCCTCCCAGCGGAAAGATGGCTGCGGTGTCATTGATTACGCAGAAATCGCAACCACAAACACCACGTGTAACTCCCCTACCCCGGCAGCTTTGGACAGGTTTCGTTGGAGGCCTTGGACGCGGAGGTGCGCAGGCTTTGTGCTGCCGATGCAGCCTCACCATCTGAGACGACGCTCGCATCCAGCAAAGTCCAATACTTCGCCGGGTAGCCTCGTTTAAGTACTCCGATCGTAAGGTGATCATCACTGTGTGGGGAACTACTGTGTCGAGTTTGCAATTTCGCAGACTTGAGTAGAATTCGCGGCTTCGTCAACAGCATGGTGGGCCGGAAGGTTATGCGTTGTTGTGCCTGTCCCGAGCTGCACAGTACCCAGGACACCCGCTGTTACGGAGCTGAAGGCCGTCACTCGGCCGGCACTTTCTCAGTTCGATGGTAGCAGTGGAGGTCAGGCTGGTTCTGCGTTTTTCCGCCTGCGCCGCAAGCGTTTCCCAGGCGGACGCAGCCTCAGAGCTCGCGCCAGCGCCAAAGAAGCGCACCGGCAAGAACAAGCGAAAGCGAAGTTAAGAAGAGCTGGCCGCCGGACGACAACCAACCGACAGACTGGAACATGCTCGACACGTACAGCAGCGGACTCAGCGTTACTGGCACTTCGATGGAGTGCAGAATCTGTTGGCATCATGTGCGTAGCACTGAGATCGTGTTTATCCTCATCCGTGCCCTGCATTTCATGTACCTTTTACTTTGCTTTTCAGGTGGCCTGCTGCTCCTTCTGCTTGGCTGCGAACACATGGAGCAAGCCACATCTCCTTCGGCTGGATTTGCCCGAGAGATGGCTTCTACTCGACATATCGGGTGTTCGACAGCGAAGAGCCGTTCAGCGACTCCTGCAGTCTTCGTTTCGGTGTGCTGACATCAAGCACATGGCATCCTGCGAGCCACGAAGGAGGGTAGGAAATCAGGACCTCGACGAAGGCGACAATCACGAACAACATGCCAGGACAAAGCCACTCCGGTGGTTCGTGGCCCAAGTCGATCTCTGCAAAATCTGACGTCGATGTGCTCGCCAAGCGAAAAGGGTTTGAGCAAAGACGGTCGTGCACAAACCATCTGCGCAGGAGGCTACACACATTGTCCGAACTACCGTGCCAGATGGTGGCTGAGGTCGCCGTGGAGATGGGGCCGATGTCATCGGTGTGGGGCTCATTGCAAGACGTGCGCATTTCATGCAGCCCGTAATATGCATTTCGAAACAATGTCCTCATCAGCATCGTTTTCTGTGTTGCTATCGCAAGATGAATAGCTTGCTGGCGCCATGATTCAACCCCTCCTACCCGTGGCAGGTTTGGGTCTTGTTGTGCGTCGCTGCCTCAAAACTGACAGAACCAATGATTGGAAGCGACGTGTCTTGAGTCTCTCGGTCCATGTGCTGATGGAGCTTTTGTTTTCTCAGAGACACTGCCGCGTCTTAGATCATCGCCGCTGTCCAGCGATCGAGAGCTTTGTTTGCCTTCGCGATCCTGTATCAAGGCGCATGCCGTGTCAAAATATTTTGCAGCAAGACATAAATTTCGTTGCAGGTCTTTGCTGCGGGCTTTGCAGATATCTGCCGTGAGCTTACCATCCTGGGACATCCTAGGACACTTTGCTGTAGTTTGTGACTTGAGCTGGGTGGCTTCGAATGTAGATACCGTAAAACTTGAGCATACGAGATCAACCTGTCGCTGAATTTCACTTGACGCCTTCCGACAGGGCAAATACAAAGCCATACCTCTTCTTCCTGGGACACCTGGCTGTCGCAGCTGCCGCCTGAGACATGCCAACCTCTCATGTTCGGAATGGCCCAGAGATCATGCGCGTGTGTGTTTGTGTGTGTGTGTGTGCGCACGCACGCGCCTCTCTGTCCGTCCGTGCGTCTGTCTGTCTGTCTGTCTGTCTGCCTGCCTCTCTGTCTGCCTGTCTGTCTGTCTGTCTGTCTGTGTCCATCTATCTGTGTTTGTCTGTGTCTCTGTGTGTGTGTGTGTGTTTGTTTGTTTTTGTTCTCTCTTTGTGCATACAACTCTCTCATTTTGTGCGCACCAAGCCACAAGTAAGTTCGCAACAACAGTGACCTTACCGTTCGACAAGCATTCAGGCTGGCGTGCTGTTCGCTTGAGAGTCGGAGGACCAGTCTGAGTCGGACGGCTCTTAAAATTGATTTGCGCCTGTCTTTTGAACGGCTGGTATAGACGAACTGCGGCCTCCTATTGCCAGACGTTGGGCTTGGCCAGTCCGTGAGCACTGTGGCGCCTCCAGCGCATTTCCTTGAAATCACATCACAGCTTGGCACATGGTGGGCATGCAGCACATGTACCTCTCTTTCACTTCGGTTGGACAAGGACCCTTCCCTGGAATCCGGTGTTGCAAGTTACTCGGAAGTGTTTGGATGCAAGTAGAGTTCTGGCTCAACGAGCTTCCCAGCAACATTCCATCCAACTGAAGCCAGCCTTCCTGTCTCGAATGGCAGCCAACACTCCGAGGACCTGTCGGCACCTCATGGTGTCCGAGTTTAACGGCACTGTCAGGCTAAGAATCGTAGGTCGGAGTGATGTTGGCCGCCAGAGATGGGCGAGGTGCCTTGAGAAACGAATGTTCCAAAGCGCGATTTGGGCGGCTTTCAACTGCTACGAACATTCGGAGATCGACGGCCTGAAGAGGTCAATCCTGTTTTGCTCTTCGTTTCCCGAAGGTGCGATGGTAGTCTCAGAACCAACAGACTCAGAAGATCTCATCAGGTAGCAGGTAGCAGTCCCGGTCTGGCAAGGGACCTGAAAAGTATAGGGGCTCAATGAGCCGCAACTCGGATGTGCAAAAATCGGAATGACATGCCCATGCTTCAGGCAGACGGGACTGTGTGAGGCGGCAACAAAAGCCCTCATGGTAGTTGGTCTCAGGCACGTTTTCGAGCAGCACTAAGACGTCATCATGACACTGCATATGCCAATGTGGTGTGGCAGTTTCCAGGGGAGCTACAAATACCAACCAAGCAACTGCAATGATACCATCCAGAACATAGTTGTCATAGTCTGTTGGTTTGCAGGCGCATCAGCACAACTTTTTTGAACCATTGCCGGGCATGAGCGGGGGCCTGTTCAAGGGGAACCCGTTTCAGTCGCAGCCGGTGGAATATTCATGCTGCACTGTCAAGATACAAGGCACCATGCCCAGCCAGATCAGCATGTCATCGGTGCGACCGGTTTCAGCTCAGCAGTAAATGCTCGGATCCAGATGCCTGACGGTAACTTGCAGAGTCGAACAAGCAGAGTCGTTGCTCTTCTGAGTGCCCGCGGCGGCTCAGCTTCGCATGGCTGGTACGAGGAACCAGTTGTTTACTTCCGCAGTGTTTCTGCCCAAGACGACCAGTCACTTCTCCAGCTTCGGGTCATTTTTAACCACTATCGATCCTGATTTGGACTTCTTGTTGTACTGGTCTATATATTTCTGGTTGTAGCATGTTGATTGCCAACACATTGCCTGCAGTCAGAAATATTGTCTCTACAACTTTTATCTTCATCTATTGGTCTGTCCGCAGCTCACCGGCGCGATAGTTCTCGAGGCAGCTGTTGAAGACACGGTCACGGAAGTACGTTGTGGCCACTTTCTTCGGGTTTCTATTGCGAAAGAATACAAGAATTGTCATGTTGTGCTTCTGTGTGGCCATTCCGATCGTTCTGGACGTCATGTTTGGTGAGCCGGCCTCTGCGCGAAGCCCAAAACCTCAACAAGAGCTACCTGAAGAACATTTATCCACACTGTGTGTTGACATAGTCACCAGGCCGAACTATATAATCCAAATACTTCCAATCATGTTTCTACTTTTCATGTCTCGGCCAAAGTCGAAGCGGATAGCCTGAATAGCGATTGGGGGCTAGGAACATTGAGTGCATCAGGGTTGGAGGGATCACTATCGCTTCTGTGCGTGCTGCAATGGTCATGCTTATTGGTACAACGCAGGCTGCACTTGCTGCCCTAACCGGCGTTCAATGCAATCGGGCCAACGGCTTTGATTGGTCTACGATGTAGATGTACACTCGCAGATGCTTCGCGGATACTTTGCATATCTTCCCTTCTCGCCCTTCTCAAGATCTGCCGAGGTCATCGACATGAAATGTGTGTAGTGTGGCAGGACCACGTGGTTCTTGAGCTAGGATGGCCCAGCATGCCCTAGAGCTCTACGATGGTGTGAAGGAGGATTTCCTCGATTCTCGCAATCCGCTCCTTTCCGCACACAGCAGCATAAAATTCATAGATCTGCGACCTCGCAAGGTCGAGATGCGCTGGCCACCAGCTTCTTGCTCTCTGGATGCAAAATAGGGACAGAAAAAGTTGTTTTGGAGCTCTTTCAGTGCGCGCCGAAATCTGCACCGAAACTCCCAGAGAATCTCCGAACACTTCAATCTCGAGGCAGGCTTCGCGCTGCCGATCTCCCAAGCACTACGAGAGTCGCAGAAAGTGCCCGGTTTGCTCCTTTCCCATCCTTCCTTCCGCCATGGCTGCCGATAGCGCAGCGGTGATGGAAACCCCGGTGAAAGGTCTCCCCGTCCTTTTGGGGCGGGAGCAGTCGCCCAAAATCGCGCATGATGTCGAGATGGGGAGGAAGGCCCACTTCGCAGAAGTGAACGAGATGATAGAAATAGGCGAGAAGGGGCAAAAACCGCAAAAGCCGACTAGCAGTGGCAGTGACGACATTGCGGCGGTGACCGCTCACTTGAAATGCTGCGAGAAGATTGTCTTAGGCTTCGGTGCAGTGTGCGCTTTGGCCCAGGGAGTGTCGACCCCGGCCATCGCAATGTTCACTGCAGATAGCATCACCACCTTGACTGCCGTTGATGCTGACGAGGAGCACATGCTGGGCCAGATGGCTCCAACCCTCTACAAAATCATGGGGCTTGCAGTCGTCCAGTTTCTATTGGCTTTCGCTTGGCAAACTTGCCTGTCCTGGGCGGCTGCCAAGCAGTGCAACCGGTGGCACGCCAGTTTCATGGGAACTTTGCTGTCCCTGGATGTGTCGTGGTACGACGAGCACGAGCCAGCGGGAGTTGCGGCCAAGCTTGAGACCGACATTGGAAACGTCTACAGCTTCATGTCCACGGCACTGGGATACCTGATCGCGAGTCTTGCGCAGCTCATCGGGGGTTTGGCCTTGGCTTTTGTCACAGGCTGGCAGTTGGCACTCGTAGTGAGCGCAACGATTCCGGTGCTGATGTGTCTTGCGCACCGCTTGGGTAAGGAGGTCGAGAGGCAGACGGTCGACCAGCAGAGGGACTTTGCCCGGGCCTCTGCGGTGGCAGAGGAGTCGCTGATGGCCATCCGCACCGTCGCGGCCTTCGGTGGCGAGGGTACAGAGTTGGGACGTTTCGAAAAAGAGCTTCTGTCTGCAAAGATTGGCGGTGTTCGTTCCGGAGCCAAGATCGGGGTCGCTTGGGGCGGTCTCAACTTCTTCTATGCTTGGGTGTATAGTCTGGCCCTCTGGTTCGGTGGTCACGTCCTCCTGGCAAACGAGAGTTTTCACTATCAGCCAAACCAGGTCGTCACTGTCATGATCGCCATGCTGGTTGGGGTCACTGGGCTGAGCTCCTTCAGCGGCTTTGCTCCCATGATGGCCAAAGCCGTGGTGTCTGCCAAGTCCATGAAGCAGGTGGGGGCTACTACTGTCATTACTTCTTGGAAAATGACTAATACCTTCTCCTTCGTTTGTTTTTGTGTTTCGTTATCGTATCATCTTTACGAATCATCAACTCCACTTACAGTCGCCTATGCACGTGCACGTATATACACATCTTCGCATGTGCTCAATATCTGGATGGTAGAGCGAGTTCTTATTTTTTTGCCTGTCTTGCATCTTGCGGTCAAGTGGCCGGGAGCCGCAGTCAGCGCAGCGCCGCCAGGTTATGGCCACTGCACGGGTCATCGAGCGCCCGCTCTACACGAAGGAAGAACTTCCGGTGCAGCTTGAAACCGTGGAGACGATCGAGTTCCGGAATGTCAGCTTCCGCTACCCGACCAGGCCGGACAAGTGGGTGCTCCAGAAGTTCAGCTTCCGTGTGGAGAAAGGTCAAAAGATCGCCTTTGCAGGGGAAAGTGGTTGTGGAAAGAGCACGACGATCCAACTGTTGGAGCGCTTCTACGACCCATGTGAGGGTGAGGTCCTCGTGAACGGGATCCACCTCAGCCAGGTGCCAAACCTCGGAACACGTGTTACCAGTGATTGCACACCAAAGGGTCACGCATGCGCGATCATGCCAGCTGCTTATTGCCTAAGAAGATGTCGTGAATACATGCCCAGGTTCAGGACACCCTAAATGCAAATTCGAGCAGTCCAACTGCGGAGCGGAATGGAAAGTCTTCTGACTTTGTAGCACAGCCCGATGCGTGGTGTAGCTCCCAGTAGAGCAGAGAGACTGTAATCATTGAACACTTGACATGGCAGTGCTGTGAAGCATCCTGTGCATGCTGATGTTCGGCGACTTAGATCCCAGGTGCCAGCCAAAGCATGGCGGAAGCTCATCGGATATGTTGGGCAAGAGCCTGTCCTTTTCGCAACGACTGCCATGAAGAACCTCAAAGCCGGCGACGATTCCATCAGCGACGAGCAAGCCTTGGACGCAGCTAAGGCAGCCCAAATTTATGACACTTTGATTGAGCTTCCAGAGCAGTTCGACACGTTCGTGGGCTCTGGTGGTGGGCTTCTGTCTGGTGGCCAGCGACAACGGCTTGCCATTGCGAGAGCTCTAGCGAAGAGTCCCCAGATCTTGCTGCTGGATGAAGCCACCTCTGCCCTCGACAACGAGTCGGAGCGTATGGTGCAGGCGACACTGGACTCCCTGGGCACAGCCCTTGGAAATAGCGTTACCACTATCTCCATTGCCCACCGGCTCACGACCATTAAGGGCTCCGATGTCATCTATGTTCTCAAAGATGGACGTTGTTGTGAACAGGGCTCCCATGAAGACCTCCTGGAGCTGCGAGGCGAGTACTACAGCATGGCCAAGCTACAGCAAGCAACCCGGGACGACAAGGACGGGGAGGAGAACCCCAACAACCCCAACGATGTGTTCGTCCCTCCTCCGGAGGGAAACAACGAGGCCGGGAAAAAAAAAAGTGACCTTGGGCAAAAGCGACCCGAGACTTTCCGCTCCTTGCAAGGCAGGAATGCAGAAGCCTGCCCGGCGAAGTGGAAGTGCGATTAGTTTCCTTGAGACGGCTCTCGCGTTGGATGGGAATGGCAAGGCCATGAGTGAGCTTTTGAGTTGTTGGGGTTTGAGATTCTTGGGGGGAGTCCAACATCCGTTCCGTGGCATCAGATGACCATGATGAGACGATTGAGGGTTCCAGTCGCATTGCACTTGTTGAATCTGTCTTGGTTCTGGGTGCAACGAGGGGGCACGGGGAGGCAGCACAGTCAGCGAACTGGGACAGGGAGTCTATAAGATTAGGATCGGATGACTAGCTTGTTTGTTGGTTCTATGTTTGCCGGACTGGCTGCAAAACCTGCATGCATGAATCCATGAAACAGCAGGATCCTTCGAATTATCGCTCTGCCATTTGGTGCCGCCTGCTGGATTTGATGAAGATCTACTGGCGCCTAGACATTGCTGGCAGCGGTTGTTTTACTGTAGCAGTCGGCTTTGCAACTGTTCCCCTTGCCTCGCCGTGTTACGCAATAACCCAAGTCTTTCTGTCATGGCAACCTACCTGCCGGGCTGCACCCAGAGGAATTAATACCCGCGTATTCTCTTTACGGCTATGCTAAGGGGCTTGCCAGAAACTACCTTGCCAGCACCGACTCCTAAAGACAGAAAAGCATCAGAAAAGCAATAGAGTAGAGGAGTAGGAATTGTTGATGAGAATCCGGCTTCAGAAGCTTTGCAGTACGATGCCGCGGTTGCTGCTACAACCTAGTGGTGATGTTGTTATGCTACCAGACTCTACAGTGAAAAAATCTGCTGGTTTAAAGGCAACTTCACCAGCACAGCAGTTACGTTCATGTCGCGTTTAGGGTTTAGGGCAACACCTCCCTTAAACACTCGAAGTAGCACTTCGTGAGCGGATTGCACAAACCAGCTTGCACTTGCGTAGGTGGATTTGGCCGCTTGCCTTTCTGATCGTCGTGATCCAGGCAGCAGCTTTTCCCTTCCAAGCCGTGTTTTTCAACGCCGGGATCGTCGCACTGTTTAATACAGAGGGCATCGACCTTCACAAGCTGGATGAGGCATGTTTGGGCCTGGTGCTGGTTGGCTTGGGCTCCGGGGTGGCGGTCCTTTGCCAGAACTCGCTGTTCACCTACTTGCAGGAGTCCCTTTGCTTGATTCTGCGCAAAGCAGCTTTTGCCAGCACCATCCGCATGGACATGGCCTTCTTCGACGCGCCGGAGAACCAGACGGCAAGCATTCTGGTGTCCCTCGAAAGGCACATGAGCCTGGGCTGCAATCGGGTAATGACTCTGTCCGGTCCTAGGCCGAGGTCAAGACATCGTTTTACCGGAGGCAGAAGAGGATGGTGCTGAATAACGTCGACTAGCAATAAGTTCGTGATTGTTACCTGCTTATCATCCCGAAGCAGGACGGTATAGTACGTTTGTACCTCAATAGCAACAACTTTGACATGATAGCTTGTTGTTGCCAAGGGCATGCTGAATGTGATTGTAATGGTAGCAGTGGTTGGTGGTGATGATTGTGGTGCAAGGATGGTACAAGTGGTAGCGCGGATGAGGAGGATGATGATGATGCTGATGATGGTGATGATGATACCAGCGATGGTAGTGATCGGACCGTGCCTTTGTCCTTATCTTTCTGACTGAGGCGTTTGTCGTTTTCACGACTTTTTCACGGTAGAGACGATTGGGGCACTAGGTAACGCACCCAACAAATTCCTGGATGCCCCAGGAATCGTGTGGGGCAGATGCTCGGCATCCAGCTCGGAAACTCCGCCGGCGCCATTTTTACCTGCATTCTCAGCATCGGCTTTAGCTTCTTTGGCTCCTGGATTTTGGCTGTGGTCCTTCTAGGCGGGGGGGCCTGCAAACTCCCCGAACAGGTGTGTGGGTTTGCAGCTGTCTTGTTCATGTTTCAGAGAAGCCTGCACGGCTTCAACCCCTTGACTAGCTACCTTGAAACGCAGTCTGGGCGGGTATGCATCTTCCGAAAGTCGCCTCCCAAGGTTCAGATAGCCCGCCTTATGCGCAGCGACAACAAAAAGCCCATGCATGAATTCGCAGGTCTGCTGCCCATTTGTGGCTACATCGGCTTCAAAGTGGCCAGCTGTGCCGCGCGCGTGGACCCGAAAGTGGAAGGCGCCTATGCCAGGGCTGGAAAGTTCACCGCAGAGGCTGCCACTTCAATCCGCACCTTGAAAGGTTTAACAAGTTGAGGTGCAACTTCTCTGTCGATCGAGGAGTCCCTTGCCCTAAGTGTCCAGAATGACTGGAGACCTAAGGCACCGTCAGGGCCCTGGGTGCAGAAGAGCATACTCTCAGCATTCTCCGGGAATCCATGCAATACGTCTTGCAGTCCAACGCTGCGAAGTCTTGGAAGTTGGGCCTTTCCGTCGGCCTGAACCTAGCGCTGATCCAGGTACTGGCTCGGGCTGGGTAGGGCATGTGTTTTTCCAAGTTGTTTTTTATGGCTGAGGGCCTGTAAGCCGAGTTTGCAGCCAGGTTATTTACTTGGCGGGCTTTTGGATCAGTGCCGTCTGCATCCAGTTCTGGCAGTTCGACGCGCACCAAGTGCTCCTTACCCTCTTCTGTGTGGTATTTGGCGTTGCATCGGTGAGCTCCATAGTTCAGTTCATCCCGGAGTCGGCATCAGGATATTATGCCGCCATGGAGGTCTTCCGCCTCGTCGACCAGGTGTCCCAGATCGATGCTACACAACCGACGGGACGGATTGAGACCTTCGGAGATGGGTCCATTGAGTTCCAGAGCGTAAACTTCTGGTACCCCCACCGTTCGGAGGTTCGGGTGCTCAAGAACTTGAACTTTACCATCGAGAAGGGCCAGTCGGTAGCCCTTGTCGGCTTCTCCGGGAGCGGCAAGTCCACAGTGATTCAGCTCCTGCAGCGCTTCTACGATCCCCAAGCGGGTGCCATCCTAGTGGGCGGCCAGGACCTGCGTCAACTCAACGTGGCATGCTAAGCTGCCCTCAAGCGCGCTGAGAAACTCCTTCACTAGAGCCTTTCCCGAGGCTAGTCGCTAGGCCCTGCGCTATCACGGGGTACACCTTGGCACGCGCTTGCAACGTTATGAGAAGCCTACAGCACCCATAGTTCAGGCTTTTGCGACATCACGACCTTGATTTCTTAACGCCAATAGGGCAAAACATGCATCTTGAGTAGAGAAAGCAGTAAGATGAGATGGAACATCACACACTCCCTCGTTTACGCAGCACTGGCCACAATGCGGCTCCACGCACGGTACACGCCAGCAACCGCAGCTGTCCAAGCCCTGTCAGTGCATGTGCAACTTAGGTGGCATGGTGGCGCCAGCAGTTGGGCATCGTCGGTCAGGAGCCAGTGCTTTTCGATATGTCCCTTGAAGAGAACGTGAAGTACGGCTATCCGGAGGCAACGGATGAAGAGGTCCGAGATGCAGCCAAGGCTGCGAACATGGACTACATCTTCTCAGGCGCTGTGCAGTGGAGCGATCGCGTTGGCCTCCGAGGGGAGAAGCTTTCTGGCGGTCAGAAGCAGCGCTGCGCCATCGCGAGAGCCCTACTTCGAAAGCCTCAGTTCATGCTCCTGGACGAGGCGACATCAGCGTTGGACTCTGTGTCGGAGAACCTGGTGCAGCAGGCGATGCAAGAAGCTCGGGTAGGCAAGACAACCATCACCGTGGCACACCGCCTCTCTACCATCCAGGACTCAGATAAGATCTTCGTTTTCTCCAACGGCCGACTCCTTGAGTCTGGCACATACGAGGAGTTGGTCGCGTTGGACGGCAACTTTACGAAGCTCGCGGCTCGCAGCCTGTGAATTCGGAGGTAGCTTCGCCCTGTATGGGGCCGATCGTTTCATGAAGCCGCGGAACCTTAGAGAACCGAGAGTGCCCGGCTCAGTGATGTTCCGGGCATGGGCATCCTAAAGTCAGCGATCGTTCCTGACGAGTTCTACTGTTCTTGACTGCTCGATTCTGGGTCTCCGTGGCGTCCACGCATAATTCTGTCCTGAAAGGAGAGGCCTTAGAGCCTTGTCCCGGATTGAATCGCCCTGCAAAAGGCTGGGCCTTGAATCCGGGAGTTTCGGTTATGGGCCCCGGGTTTGTTAAGACTTCAGTTAAGATCCCCAGACATCAAGTTATCGTTTAAGTAATGTCGGCGGTTTGTATTGGAGTCCCGCCTACAGCTGCATGCATTTTCCGTCGGCTTATGAGCAGGATCAGAAGCTTCCACACCAGGCCTGCCTCAGCTTTCAAGCTCTGACAGGCCGGGTGTCGGTATCTGTGGTCTAGCATCATCTTTCGGACAGCAATGGCTGTGCTTAGTAATTCGCTTTAGACCGGCTCCTGCAATCTTGTAAAGATTCAGAGCTACAGCGGCTGCAGAGCTGCCTGCCACTAACTCGGACAGCAGTTCCGCGCGAGGCAAAAATAAAACCGTTGCAGCCTTTTGCTGGAACCCATTGTAGGCGGATGCTTTGATTGAAAGCACCCATTATAGTTTCTATGCTTTGAAAGCCAGCAAGAACATCTTGTCAAGGGGAGGAAGAGGCGTTTGCCACGCTTCGCCAGAAACCCGCGTGGTCCGATTTTGAGATTTGTAAGATCTAGAAGAAGAGCAACACATGAACACAAGTACAGCAAACGAGAGCGCTGAGGCTCACCACAGCTTGGCCAAACGGCTGTCGCTGCCGGAGCAGGGCCTTCGTCAAGGAGGCGGGCCCAAGGGCTGAGCAAGTTGGGGTGTCAAAGTGTGAGGATTGAATTGGCAGACGATTTATAGGCAAGCTGAGGATCAGCAGCAGCGGCGGCTTATTCTTTGCTTTCTAACTTCTGCAGGCATGCCTTAACTGCATTGGCGACACGTGTTTGCTGCAGGAGGTGGTGGAGGAGATCTCGGTGATTTCGCATGGAAGATCATGGAAGTCACGAAGCATCCCACAACTCTTGGGAAGGTAAGCAAGGAAAGGCAGAAAGAAGTGCGTATAAATTATGTAAACATGTTTGATGATGTGCAAGCACCTGAACACAGAAAGTGCAGAGTACTGGTTGTGGCTGCAATCGTAGAGCTGCATCGCACCACCCGGCCAGTTGTCGGAGACCTGGATGCAAAAACAGTGTGTTTGTCATCGGCTGCGGCCCAACAAAAACCACGGACCTCTGAGCACACATCCCGGCTTTCAGTGTGCAGCTCGTCAGCATGCATGGATCGAGGGGAATTGAAAGGGTACATCTCGACAGCACTCATCTTGACATCGCCATTTTGTATCAGTGCTGGGTCCGTGGTTGCCAGCGGAGCAAACCCCCTTGGCCTGCTACATTCGCGATCAAGCTTCTGTGTTAGACTGCAACAGCTGAACATGAGACAGGTGTCCTGCAAAGCCATCCACCCCACACTTATGTACTTGTAGGTTAGCTGCTGCACAAGCCTCCAGATCCCGCTGTCGAGCATGCCCAGTCCCCCTGAGCCACCTCTACAGCTTGATCCCTAGAGCCCTAGAGGCTTTGTGAGGCTACAGGTCGCAAGCCGGACATGGGCAGGACCTGGGATACTGGCAAATCTACTGCGGACTGCTAGCGGCCTTTTTTGCTCTTTGCCATGTGCGTCGGTCGGAGTGCTGCACATGCACTTGCCAGCGCTTCTGCAATGGGTGCTTTCGCGTTATTAGTCCCAGGGAAGAGCAACTGTAATGAAGGGACTTCCGCAAAACCGGGCACGGCATCAGTCGACACCTGTTTAGACTTGTTTCAGGTGCCACTACTGATCGGATATGGTGCTCCTCGGTCAGATGGATGGAACTTTGTCCAGTGGTAGGAGGGTAGGCAGCTTCCATGAAGGACAAACATCCTGCACGAAGTCGTGTTTTGCTGCATAGCTTGGCCCGCAACCATAGAAGCCTAAAGCTGGAAGTGAACAGTCCTTTCCGAGGTGGCCGTCAAAGACACGAGCTCCTGTCAAGATCTGCTGGCACTTCCAGTAGAGAACGAGCCACCTGTCAGGAGCATGGCATAGATACCAGATGATAGTAGTAGCAGAGAGAGTTTGGAGAGTACGCTTCAGATTTTTCGGGTCGGCGGCACCTGCTGGGGCATCACTGCATAGAGCGTGCAGTGTCAAGCATTGCTCCCTGGAAGAGGTCGACCAAGTGCCTCGCGGACGACTGCGGCTGCCGCATCGTTGTCGAAGAGGCACGTCCACCGCAGAGCAGCCGATACCTGCTGGAATCCTGACGGCAAAAGCCCTTTTCCGAAAGCGAGCGTCTGGCGGCAGGTTGTGTGGCAGGTGCTGAATCCGCAGCCCGATGGGTCTGCCGGCATCGAGCCCTTCGGACTGGATGAAGGGACGAGTGACGTTTTCCAAAGATTGACATGCAGCTTTGCGACAAGCATATGAGAAGCTCCCATTCTTATTGCATAACTGTGCAAGGGCAGTAAGTACGGCTCAAGCTGAAGGTGGCTGGTGTGTCCCGGTTTGTGCTTATTTGCGACAGGGACAATGCTTCGGCGGTTGTTCAAGAAGAGCGATCCGAGTGAAGCACGCGTTCACAGAGTGAAACTGCCGGATGAGCCGAGCAGGATGTATTTCGACAAAGAGAAAGGGAGGTGGCGCGAAAGAGGCCAGGAGCACCTGGAAGAGGAGGAGGCGGCATTGCCTCCACCCCCATCCACGAGGAAGCAGGCCGAGAAGAAGGAAGAGACCGCGAAGGAGACGTCTGCCTTGGAAAACATGATGGCTCCGCCACCAAATCCTTATGGCAATCTGTTTGGCGGTGCCGGCAAGCAAAAGGCACCCCCTGCAGTGATTCGCACCACACAAGTATCATTGGAAGCGCCTCCTGCCCCCGCTGATGCAAGTGTATTGGTCGGAGGTGCCCCGGCAGCAGCAGCAGCTTCGGAAGGATTTGGGGCGCCGGTCGCAGTTCCGACGAATCCCTTCGCACCCATATCCATCCCAGGCGGCAGCAAGGAGAGCACCAAGCAGCAGAGACTTAAAGAGAAGCCGCCAGCGGCGTCCTTCGCTGCTCCTTGCGGCCAAGCTCCGCCTTTGGCACCCATTGCAGATCCTGAGGGAGGCGGGGGAGAAAGAGAGCTCGAAGATGAAGGCCAAGATGCTCGAAACGCAGAGCCAACTGGTGCTGAGCCCGAGCCGCTAAGCTCCAACCCCTCCTCGAACAGCGCCTTTGCTCAGCAGGAGGATGCAGGTCTACCAGAACCGTATGAAATAGAGGCTGTTCGGCTAGAGTCGGTGAGGGGTGCAGATGATGCGCAAAAGGTCGAGGCTGCGCCTGAACCACGGCTTCTTGCCAGCGCAGATGGCATGCAAAAGGCTGAGGATGTGCTTGAATCAAAGCCACTTGCGAGTGCAGATTATGCGGAAAAGGCTGATGAGGATGTGCCTGCATCAAGGCCGCTTGCGAGCCCAGATGATGCGCAAAAAGCTGAGGATGTGCTTGAATCAAAGCCACTTGCGAATGCAGATTATGCGGGAAAGGCTGAGGATGTGCTTGAATCACAGCCGCTTGCGAGTGCAGATGATGCGGAAAAGGCTGAGGATGTGCCTGAATCACAGCCGCTTGCGAGTGCAGATGATGCGGAAAAGGCTGAGGACGTGGCTGCATCACAGCCGCTTGCGAGTGCAGATGAAGCGGAAAAGGCAGAGGACGTGCCTGCATCAAAGCCGCTTGCGAGCTCTGATGATGCGCAAAAGGCTGAGGATGCGCCTGAATCACAGCTTCTTGCGAGTGCAGATGATTTGCAAAAGGCTGAGGATGTGCTTGAATCAAAGCTGCTTGCAAGTGCAGATCATCCGCAAAAGGCTGAGGATGCGCCCGATGCACAAAAGGCCGAGGAGGCAGATGCCACAACAAATGCACAGGTTGCAGATCTGCAAGCCAAGTTGCAGCAGGCAGAACGGCGAGCTGCAAGTGCTGAGGCCCGAGTTGCAGAGCTCCAGGCAGGATTACAAGAGGCCAACCGACGGGCTGCGATTGCTGAGGCGCAGCTGGCGCAGGCAGAGCAGCCACCTCAGCCTTTTGCCAGAATGCCGGAGTCCAGTGAGGCATCAGGGCGAGAAGCATTGGCCGCCGTCGAGAACCGCGAAGGAAAGCAGATCGCTTCATTGGTTAACCTTATGGAGAAGCATATCTCCAACCTGGCCGTTTGCTCACAGGTGTGCAGCTCACTCGAGAATCTGACCTTTACAGATGTGAATCACCAGTCACAGGTTGTTGAGTTGGGTGGTGTTGAATTGATTTTGAAAGTGTTGGAGACTCATGAGGATGCAGATGGGGCCATGCTGCGCCCTGTAATAGATGCTTTATGGAATTTGACCTTCCACGTCAAGGCAGTCGACAGGGCCACGGCAGCAGGAGCTGTCCCCCGTGTTGCGTCAGTCCTGGCCAAGAACTTGCCAAATCCGGATGTGCTGGGTGGAGTATGTGCAGTCTTGCTCAACCTGGCAGTCAACGACGAAAACCGCCACCAGATTGTACAGTGCGGTGGCACCGAATCCATGGTGAAAGCCATCATGGAACACCAGGCCCAGGAGGACGTCGTTGAACACGCGTGTCAAGCACTGTATTTGCTTGCCTACCACACCGAGCTTCGGCCAAGTGTGGTGGCAGCCAACGCTGCAAAAGCAGCTGCACTGGCGACCACGTGCAGTGGCCCACGAGCCCCGAGATGGGGGCGGATCCTCGAAGAGGTGCTCGCATGTTGACACAGACTGTACTCATCGCAAACGCATTTTGTGCAGGCACCTGCGGTGATGTATCATGGAATAATTATGCTATGTGCATGGATGTTGGCACATAACTGCAGACCACACATGTCGCTGGTCAACTCAACATGAACCTTTGTGGCGATATGATATGTTCCTGTGGTCCACAGTCCACATGTGCCATCATCTCTGTCAAGCTTCGCACCGACCAACTTACTTACGAAGCAAGAAAATCTGACCAGTTCGACTAGATTGACTAGATTCGCGCAAGGCGTGACTCATGACATGGTGACGGCGAGGTATCGCGCTCGCAGCCTTACACCTGGCTTGCTTCGCTGGATGGACCAAGCTGTCGGCTTCCTCGAAGGCCGACAGGTTATGTCGAAGAGAGTGTGTCGGTTTCTTGTTGCTTGCTTTGAAACGTTAAGCAACTGTCTTTCGGCTTGTGACTCTTGGCATAGGCGAGAGATATTCCCGGTTGCGAGGATGCGGCAGCTAAACGTAAAGGCTATCGTGACAGACGGCTGCATGGCGGTGCATTCAGAACGAGGTCCCTGAGAACCCTGCGAACGGACAGAGTTGGGCCAGTTCTGCTACAGTATCTGCTTTGTGTCGGGTACAGCTCTTGCCAGGTCGAGAAGAGCTGGATGCAAGCTGCCTGTTCCGCGAAATCAGAGATTTTCTGGGCACATGCAGGTATGGGGACGATTCCGTTGTTGCTGTAGTATCCCGCTGCCCTGTCTCACAAAAAGCGGACTCGCAAGCCCTATGAAGACAAGAAGGAGAGTGGGCCAGGCTCGCCATGCCCTAAAACATTTTCTATTCTTTACAAAACGATGATCATGGACTGGGGAAACATTGAGAAATGGTTCAGGAGTCGCACAGTGCCTGAGCCAACGAACGCTCCAGTGACTTAGTCGCGCATGCGTGCGAGGGCCACGGGAAGGAAGGAACGAGGTGTGAATGAAAAATGCTTTCAGCATGTCCCGTGACCTGTGCCATCCTGTGACCCTCACACTCACGGAGACATACAGTGACAGCGTTTCGACGAGTGGTGTCCGACCCCAAGAATGAAGCTTCACTCGACAAGGTCCGAGTTGCAAAAGGCCCCAAACATTCTTGAACTCTAGAAACTCTGGAACTGCCTCGGCTCGAGTGTCCAAGTTGCGAGGGTCCAAACCGCATTTGTGAGAAGGGTCGAACATATGTAAAAAAAACCAACCTTATCCCAAGCCTCCGTATATAAGGCTTCCGCGAGCTCTGGGCGGCCCTCAGCGAGGCCTCAGAGACCTTGGCCGAGCTCTGCCCTGAGGCTGCAGAGATCGTGCGACTTGGCTTTGAGGGATTTTCAGGGCCTGGACATGGGCTGGACATGGCGTTTTCCCTACGCTGAATCGTGAAATGCCCACATCCGCGAGGTCACTGCTTTGGAACCTTGGCCGCAAAGTACTGTATTTGGCACTTGTAGGATTGGTCGAGAAGGATTGGGGGTTCGCAGAGCTGATCAGCATGCCGCCCAGGTTCACCAACCAAGCACTCTCGGCTTGTTGCTCGGCTTTGCCAGTTGGAAAGTGCTTGCAGAGTGCACTGACACTCGTAAAAGAAACGTGCCATTCTCATTTTAGGAACTTGCGCATCGAGGTTGGTATGGTACCTCTCACCGCTTCGATGAGGCGCTGTAAGTCACGAAGTTCCGATTGGCAGCTGAAGAGAGCTACGCCGAAATATGCCGCTCACGCACCGCATCTCACGCCTGTTCGCTCATCGGCTTGGAAGGAGAGAGAGAGAAAGAAGCATGGCCAGGCACCGCCTGCCTCATCGCGGCTGGAGTTCGCCTGGCGTTGAGAACTTAGCAGGTTCCTGCGTCACCGCTATTCACCGCTATGGCAAACGGCACGTGATTTTGCCGTCTCTGGCGGTTGCTTCCACGGACAATCACAGACGTGACCACCACCAGCACCATCATTCTTTGGCGCGAGATAGTCACTATTGTTGCTGTTACATACTGCTATTCGGCATCGGGTGGTAAGATCAGAGAGTCGGGGTTCAGCGAGGACTGCGACTATCGTCAGCAGTGAGGCTTTGCGTTTGAAATGACATTGAGGGGTTACACCTGACATAGGGTTGCAACAGATTTTTCTGTTCTATGCTCAGGTTCGCTGCGCAGCCTTTGCGACCAGCGTGATCTTCTGGAAAAGCTTTCGCTGCCCGCTTTAACGTATTGCAAACAGTCGACGCAGCTGATCTGCGGGAATTCAAAGCTATAGACAATAAACGCAATAAGCTCCATTAGGTCTGTGATGGGTTCCTACCTCTCAGCTCGGCCCCAAGAGCCCCGAGAATCCCAGCAGAGGTTGAACTTGGTGAAGGGGCATGGTGGTGGAGCTTGGAGCAGGCCTCGCTGTGCCAACCCTTCACTCAGAGTTGAAACTCGCCGGTTCGCCATGAGACATTCCGCAAACCTGTCGGGCTAGCTTTACCCCCCGCCTGCCATGCAGGTGGCAATAATTGTCCCCAGCATGCAAAACAAACAACAAGGATTGCTATACAGAAGAGTGGCATATCCCAAGCCAGATCCGAGCAAAAGGCCGTTTTGGCAGCCCCTGGCCGGTGCCCGCCCCCTGGACGACAGCGCAGCTCTGCTCACATCGGAGCATCGCCGGCTTTCTTTTTTGCCAACTCACCCTCCTACCACATGTTGTTGCGACTCGCTGGGTCTGTAGACAGGGTTTCTTTCCGGTGGCACATCAAGAGCCCGCACAACCCTTGGGCTGGGAAAGCCTCGCAGGGTCTTACGTAGACACAGGTTGACTGCACAATGTTGTCCCGAGTTGCCTGCTGTGACACCCAGCAACAGAATTCATGCAATGAGCGTCTTGCCTGCGTCAGTGCCATGGTTCTCTAAGGCGACCTTCTCTTCCGCAGCGCGTGCCTCGTCGCTGCAGCACTCCCCAGTGGGGGCAGAGATTTGGAGGTCGGTCCGTCAAATGCTCCACTTTTGCATATACCAGTAGCCCATGTCTCTCTCTCTCTCTCTCTCTCTATATATATATATAACATATGCATATCGGTTCTTTCAGAGCAAAATTCGCCAATCGCAATCTTTCTGACAAACAGGTAAGCAGGAAATACCAGATCCACTTGAGCGTGGTACTTTTACCATCAAGTACGTACTGGTTGGCAGAAGGAATGACTGGTTTGTGAAGGGTTTGGAGGTTGTGTCAGTAGTTTCGGGCTTGGCCTGTTCTATCTCTTGTCCCTTGCCACCCCACTGTCGGCAGGCTTGCTTTCCTGGACTGGGGCATGTTCCTGCAAAGTTTGGAAGAGGCGCGCTATGCAGTGCCGCAAGGTGTAAACCACATGTCATGTCAGCTGCTGCCCTTTTGTCTCCTGCAGCCACCGCTTCCACCAAACCACCACCGCAACGAGCACCACGACCAAGATGCCCCAAGACTCTGCAAGCTCGTTTTCGCCGGTGTTGCCACAGGATCATACTGTAGGCTGTCATCCATGACATGCCCGACTGCAGCTTTGCCCGCAGGCCTGGCCTGCCGGCTCAACACTCCACTGGTTGCAAGAGCCTGGCACTCAAGCTGCGAGAATTCAAAGGGGGGGCGAGTGATCCTTGCAGGCAAGAGCAGCCTCCTGTCCCGAACGTCTCTGCAGGCCGGAGCCCCAACGCATACAGCTTCAGGCAATCGGGCAGCTTGCAGGCATTTGCAGCTGCCATGCCCAAGCTTGCGGCAGCTTGCGTTTTTCAATCATCCGGAACAAACTGGCTACGGCTCAAGCGGCTACGCCTCAAGCTAATTTGGCTCAACCCTTGCCTGCCGGAACCTGTGCCCGCACCAGTTGACTCATGATGCCAACTGCTTGCCTCCCGACGTGGAAAACAAAGGTGGTGCACACCTTCCTCGAGTTTGAGGAGGAAGAGCCGCCGAGAGTGTGCCGGCACCATGCCGAGACGGAGCTGCCGGAGGAGAAGCTGCCCAAGGTGCAGTTGCCGAATGCGCCTGTGGCAGCATCAACGCTGAACCCGCATGCTGCCTCATTCACTGGGGTCAGCGGTGAGGCGCCATTCGGCGCAGACTCGGAGGTGTACTTCCCTTTTCAATAGTACACGGTGCAGGAATGGCTGGACTGGATTTACCACTTGCAAACGAACCACGTCCTCCTGACGCCCGAGTATGCCGCGTACATCTGTGAGGTTGCGCGGCTGCTTGGGATGTCGAGCATGGAACACGACGACCCGGAAAGCATCCACATCTGTCGCATGGGGAAACCAGGAACTTACTTAATAAAGTGGTTCCTGGACTCTCGCAAGCTCCGGAGCAACGACAAGCAGATCATCTCGCCGGGGTTTGACTTGTACCACCCTTGTACCGGCCAGCCCCTTAGGTTTCTCATCGGCGCGTTCCCCAAAACCTGGGGTACGGCAACTCCCGATGTAAGCTTTAACTAACAAGTCTGATGGAAGAGGCATCTTCCAGTTGAAGTGCGACACCCAGCCCAAAGACCACGGTTGTTTGCCATGCCGGTTTGGGTTCTCAGTTTCAAACGGGGGGATGCGCACGGCCTCTGGCCATTTTACTTTGAATAATTGTGTGGTGGAGTTGCCATCGGAGGAGTCCACGTTTGACATATTCGGCGGAGTTGGACCAGACCAGTTGGTCGAGGTCAACGCTTTAGTTGAGCTTTTGTAGGAAGCTTAGCAGCATCTTCCGGAACCCAGATGCACGTGTAGACACTGTTTGGACATGGCCGTGCGAAGCACAGCAGAAGAAAGCAATCAGAATGAGAGGCATGACCTTCAGGTTCTTCCGAGCCTTGCACAGCCAGGCAATGTGCCGGCACCCGTCCGGTCTTTCCGATGATCTCTCTGGGCCCACGCTACAAGCTTCTGAGCTTTGAAGCTTCACGAGCATGCTTAAATTTCAAGAGACCCCAGTCAACATTTGCAGTTCATGCATTTCCGTTCCAAGATGTTCCAAGAATTCATGTGTTTGATGGCAGATGCAAGTTGGTGTTATTTGGCACTGATGTTGACAGGAGCAAGCTCCGACTCATATTATGTTTTCCCGGCTGCCCTAAACCTCGCCTGACCTCGTCGAGTGCCAGCGCTGAAAAATCTGCGTGTTTGGCTTTTGGCATCGCTTGGCACAGTCTCGAAGCGTGCGAGGTTGTGATGCACTATACTATGTTGGGTTCCCTGCCGCGGCCGGCGCCTGAGGCCTAAGCCTAAGCCAAGTATTACCTCAGGCCCTCTCTGAAAGTGTCCTTGGTCTGGGACATGAACAAGAGCATGTACGTAATATGAGGAATTCACAGCATGAATCGTGCCTAGGTTCAGATGGACTGGCTGGTGTTGACCATCTCCCTGTCAGACTACTTGCTCCAGCGTGGCTGGGATGGCTGCTTCCTCACAGGCACGACCTCCTTCACCCCCCGGAAAAACAATGAAGAGAGAGAGGACCGGCGGAAAGGAAGAGAATGTGCGAGAGAGACGGACTTTTGCGCACATGCTCGGGACGCTGGGGGGTGGGTGGTAGTGTCTCTTGCTCATCCGGAGACGCAAGCAAGCAAGCAAGCAAGCAAGCAAGCAGGCAGGCAGGCAAGCAGGATCCAGGGCACACGCTTGCGCGAGGGCAGTCCTTGAGTGATATTCGGTTTAGGCGGGGCTTCGGCCCTCCGAGCTTCCGAGATCGTAATCAAGTCGTGAGGGATTCCCTGGAAAGGTTCTGTTGAGCACCTGCTGGCCGACCCGAGGCCCACGCGGGGGCAATGTCCATCAAGTGCACTCTACTGCCGTCTTGTCCGTCGGCAGGGGCACTCCTGCTGAGCTCTCTTGCATCATTCGGCAGCATTCTGCCGCCCTTCGCTTCTGCGCGAGGTGCCGGATGGTGCCGTGCAGCTGTTTGAAGACCGCTGTCCCAAAAGCCTTTGTACAGTAATCGGGAATCGTTCGCCTGACCACCAGATTCGCATGTTGCATGTCTGGAGCCGTCCGGTGGTCACAGGGTTGAGGAGTCTTAGAAAGCTTTAGCTTTCGCCATGAGCCTTGTCGCACAGCTGCCAAATGCCGGGCTTCTCAAGAAGGTTGCGGATGCTATGAAGGACACGGCATGTGCAAATTCAAGCTTGCGGAGTCACAAAGACAGCAAGCTTCAGCAAACCGAGTTCCGGCAAAGCTTCAAAGATCGCCGCAACCAGACCGCTTTCTCTTTGCCTTGCAATGCAGGACTTGTGCAAGGACGTCAACTTTGATTGCTCTGAAAGGGGCATCCAGGTCCGGCTCTTAAACAGCGTGTCAGCCAGATCCAATGCTGGGAGCGCTGACGCTTCTGGATTGGCCTTAACACAGCCAAGGAACCAGGGGTCCGATGTTTGAGCTTCAGGTTTGACAAGCAAAGATCAAACCTGAGTAATCCTTTAACGGGAATCGTTTCTTTTACTGGGCTCGACCTGCCCTTTGTAGAACTTGCAGAAATGGTGTGACTGGGCTGGGTTGAGGGCCAATTCTCCCTGACCTCCATGGATGCAGACAGAGTAGGGTGGAGAGGACAGAAAGCCGGAGCCTAAACACAAGCATAAGCAGAACTGTGTTTGCAGACCCCCTGGATGCAAGGCTAGAATCTGCTGATGTGAATCACAGGCAGACTTTCAAGCTTTGAAGAGCCATCAGGTGCAATCGATGGACAGTTCACATGTCGCTCTGGTCTCCTTGAACCTGAAAGAGTCGGCATTCACAGACTTCAAGTGCGAGCGCCCGGCACTCCAGTCGCAAGCATCGGGCAGTGGGGTTCAGGGCGTTCTTTCCCTTAGGCCCATGCTGCTTGGAATTCTTCCATATCTGTGGTAGCATCAGCCGATCGATGAGGCTGCGGCGGAAGGAGCAGACAAACTCTTCTCATGGACAGACATGACAGAAGCTTGAGCCGTGGAGTTAGACTGCTTTCTCGTCTTGCAGCAGCTTTCCTGGCTCTAGAGACGGGCCGCGGCATTCCAACTCCAACTGAAGTGCCTGGGCGCAGTTTGGTTGGATTGTCTGGTGTCTGCCGAGCATCCGAGCAATCTGGTGGACTCTCTGATCGATGAGAGGTCCGTGATGGAGAGGACTCCGCCCGTTGAGCCGGAAGATCAAACAGGAGAAGTGACGTGCTGAGAGCACGAGGTCTCTGTACGTTTGTCTAAGACCCGGTCTAGGATTCCGTCTCGGTGCCTCTTGAGTACGGTTGAGCCGCCAAGGCAGACATGGCTGCAGTTCATCTTGCGCCAGCCGACGATCTGGAGCAACGCCCTGCTGAGGACTCGATGTCGGCGTGGTCGTCCCGTGCCTGAGCCTGCAGTTAGACGGTGTTTCGCAGTCCCGTGCTTTCGAGCTCACAGAAAGGTTTAACGCATCCGTGCGCTAGGCCACCGCCAGTGCATGGAGATCCTCGTGCGACAAGAATGTCGTCGAGAGCGCTGTGAAGAGCAGCTCGAAGAACTGAAGGTAAAGCTGCGCGAGGAGACTCAGCGCAGGCGGGCATTCTCAGCAGTCATGAAGCTCCCCGCATGAAGCCGCCACTTTCCACCTCTCTTGAGCATGGCGCTTGGGCCAGGATCGAAGCGGAGGCCAAAGTAACACGCCTCCTGGACATAATCCATTCTATCACTCGTGGGACGAGGGTGCCCCTTGGCCAGTTTAGGCTGAGAGCTGCAGGATTTCAGGTGCTTGTTCCAGCGAATCGTGCTGATGCCAAGGGAGCAGTTGGATTTGGAGGTCGCCAGGCTCTCAGTCAGGAGCCAGGTCTTGAAGGAGAACGCAGAGAAGCACGAAGAGCAAATGCGTGCGATGGTAGAGGCTCGCAGATGCTAAATGCTTTTGGAGTCGTTGAGCACACGCGCAGACTTTTCTTGTAAATTGTGGACCGGGCCCGGTGCAGGAGAAAAACGAGTTGAAGCGCCGTTACGACGAGCTCCTGACTGACAGCAAGCACTTGCATGAGGTGGGCCGAATCCGAGTTCGGAACAGACGCAAATCAAGTTCCATTTTGATAAGCGCCTGGAGGAGAACACGAGCTTGAAACAGAAGTGTCAGGACCAGTTTAAGCAGCTGGAGGCCGTCAAGTTTGGGATGCGTGTTGCATGTCTTCATGCAGTGAAATGCAGTGGACATAAAGTCTACATAGAGCATATCTGAGCTTCAGCTGTCTCGGCTTGCTTTTGGCCGTGCAGAAGCTGCACCTGGAGCGCCTGACGGAGGGCCTTAAGGAAATGCTCCGGCTCAAAGGAATGGAAGAAGAGGACAAGTTCTGTGAATCCCGTCGTGCGACTTGTCGCTCGCATTCATCTCGTGTCCCCGCAGGAGTGGATGCAGGAGACTGCAACCGGCTCCTCCCGAGCAGAGGACTGCCAGCGGCCAGCCGACTGCCCCCTCCGAAGAAGTTCACTTCACGCCCCTGTGCTAGAGGAAGCGGCGGAGGAGAGCTCGGTGCTGTCGAGCGAAGAAGCATCGAACGCCAAGGATCAGGACAGTGATCAGGTAGGCTAAGTTCATCTTAGTTCCGTAAAGCCGCTTGCACCATGCTGTCCTTCAAGGAAGGCTCTGACTCAGTGCCTATGCCACTGAGTCTCGGCAGAGTCTGTCACAATGGGCACAGTGGGACCCGAAGTTGGCTCCTAGAAGCCTTGGCACTGCCCTCCGAGGAATCATCTTCCAGAGCCGGTTGATCCAGCACTGCACAGAGGAGAAGATCTCCAAGGGAAAACCACAGAGCAGCATCGAATGGAAGACGAGGACATGCTGGTTACTTCCTATCGTGTGACTTGTGGCTCCCGGTCTCAGTCTCGTTTGGTATCCCTTCAGGAGTCGCTACAAGAGACTGCAGCCGGTTCTTCTCGCGAAGAGGACTGCGCGCAGCCAGCCGACCTTCTGCAGCGTTTCGCTTTCAGTACCTGGCGTGGCTCCCGTGCTGGAGGCTGCCGAGCAGAGCTCGGTGCTGTCAAGTGAAGAAGAACCACACACCATGGATCAGGACTGTCGCGTGATCAAGTCTTCAAGTAGCCAGAGTTCCGCGGACAGAGCCTGTAATGTTGTCCTTGAAGGAAGAGCCTGACTCAGTGCCTACGCCACTGAACCTCGGCAGAGCCTGTCGCAATGGACAGATTCGGTCCCGAAGTTGGCTCTGAGAAGTTCGACGCATTGTCGTTGCCATCCGAGGAATCATCTTCCGGAGTCGCTTGATCCCAACCTGCACACAGGAGTGAACCTGCTGAGCAGCTCCTATCTGCCTTTCGGACACCTGGCATTTGTGAGTCGTTCGACGGATTGCATTGCAGACCTTCCTTGTCCGGGCGGGTCGGTTTGCAGTTAAGGACTGCGAGCTGGTTGGCTCCAAGGCAAAGCAGCCGCAATCTGAGAAGCTGAGCACAGGCATGCACAGGCATTGTCCGTAGAATGTAAACAGCTCTGATGAACTCTTAGTAGTTAGTAGCATCTGAGCAGTGCAGTGTGTAGTGTAGTGATCGGAACAGTCACCAGAAACGAGCTGTATACATCAAAGGAGGTACTGGCACTCTCGCTCTGCGGACGCTCTTTGTAGACTTGGCCCGCCCGCCGAACATGGCAGCGGCAAGGGGCAAGGGTTTCATCGTGTACCTTTGAACAGTACGCGGGTTTCTCCGTTTCAGCCACTTTGGGTGGCAGGTGGCATGAAGGTGTATGAGCTCAGCTCCGCCACACGTCCGTACCATCAGGGCCCAGCTCACCTGCCCGATGTCATGTTGCCCTAAGCTGTTTTGTGCTGAGCGGTACTGAGCAGACCCATCTGCCACTGGCTGTTGGGATCGAGGGCTTTTGTTGGCTCTGGCCTCGAAGCGCATGTGGCGCAACTCGCTCTACTTGCGGAACTGGCTGTGAGAAAAGCCTGCTGTCCGGCTGCAGAATAGTATTGTTTACGGGCCGTGGCCCTCCGGCTGTGATAAGAGTTTCAGTAGAAACTTAAGTGGCTGCGGTCGCCGTGCATGTGTCATGCTGTTGCAAGCATCCTTCTCCTGCACTTCAACCATTCGATGATTGGCGTTGTTTTGATTTTCTTGGCAGGCTTCGGACTTCTTCACGTAGGACTCCAACATGTTCTTTTCCTGACTCATGCCACCTTACTGAGGCATCCTTGGGGATGAACGTGGACTCCTTGACAAAGATCCTGAAGATGACGAGCCCAAACGATTCACTCAAGATCCGCCACCAGGTCGACTCGGACGCCGCTTGCCTGTCGGTAGTGGTCGTCGTTGCGGCGGTGACACAAGCACTGGTGGGAATCAGCAGATGTAGTTGTGCATGTAGTTGTTGTTGAGTGAGGCGGTGGTAACGGTCGCAAGTGGTCGGTAGTACTGGTCGTGCGTCTCCCCGTAGCCTCGGTCGTCGTTGTCGTATCGCGCCTGTGCGAGTGGTTGCGGAAGTGGTGGTGAGACTGGCAGAACTGATTGAGGTCGTGGGTTTCCAGTGTGAGGGGTCGGACGACCGGATCTCGGAGTTCGAACTCAAGCTGATGCAGATCGAGAGCGAACACATGGAGATCCCTGAGCAGCCCGGGCCCCGGCAGACAGGTGAAACTTGCAGCTGACCGTCTTCGCAGCACATGTTCCTGTTTTTTTGCCAGCTGAAAAGATGCGTTCAATAAGATGTTAGCTGTGCGCCATATCTACATGTTTCTACTCATCTCCGATGGTCTTGTTGGCTTCTCATCTCAGAGCTGGGGAGCTGTATGTCTGGTACCTGTACTAGAGCTACTAGAGCCAAACACGGAGCTAGTGCTGTCAAGGCACTACAAGGTCATCGCGAAACTGCCCTCCTCAGAGTTTCAAAAGATCTGCCGCGACCTGAAGGACCCATGCAGCCAGGGACAGAGACGCATGACGGTGCAGGAACCACAGGTCTGTCGCGCAACGGTCAGGAAGTTGCAGCCAAAAGTTCACAACAACTGGTCCATCCCATCCCGTTGTTATTGCTCGCTTGCTACCCTTCTAGATTCCAGCTTTTCTGCAGCGTGCAAGGAGTTTGGGGAAACTCTGCAGCTGAGCGGCAGCAAGGAGGGCCTGAAATTCCAGGTGAAGGGCGACATCGGTAGCGGGAACGTCCTGCTGAAGCCTCGGGAGAGCGAGAAGCCCGAGGACCGAGGGACAAACACGGATATTTCTCCTGATGATGATCAACCAAACATCGCATGTCCATCGGGTCCCATCTGTGCCGGCTGTAGACATAATAGTTCTTCACGGGAAGTCCCTCCGAATGAGACACTGAGGGTGGGAGAGGGCAAAACCTCGAGAGCAAGATGCAACCAAAAAGCGAGTTTCCATTCGGAATCTGCAACTTGTGCCAGTCATGTGAGCATCAATCGTGACCGGTCTCTTACTTGCCTCTCAAGTGAGGGGCCCCTTTTCTGGAGCCAACTAACGGCACGGATCCGACCACGGCGGTCGCATGGAAAAGCAGTGCTGAGTGCACTTCGACAGCTGTTCCCCGAGCCCGTTCGAGCTTCCCTGCGCGACTCGCTGCATTGGCAGCGGAGCACGGTTGCTTCCAAGGACCTAACTGGCCGCTAAGGTGATTCCCCTTCGTCTCGACTTGCAGTGCCAGTGCTGCTGTACCTGGAATCTCCTCAGGGAACGTCTTCGTATCCCTGGAAACACTTTTTCCGTCGGAGCCTGTGCAGGCTTCCCTTTTTCTACGACTTCGTCTTCAAGTTTTTCTTCGGTTTCTTTGACATGTCTGGCCAGGACAATGGTGCAAGCTCTGTTCCCATGTGGGACGGAGCCGCTCGAAGCTGGCGTCGGTACACTCGAGAAGTGGCCTGGTTTGTGCAAAGTACAGCGCCGCACAAACGCCGACACTGTGCGAGTCGGCTAATGGGCAAGCTGAGTGGGCCTGCCAGGTTGCTGGCAATGTCGTGGTCCCATGCCACGTTTGACACCGAGGATGGGACACGCAAGCTATTGCAGCGGCTAGCGGCGAGCCCTTTGGTGAGAAAGACCCTGCCGAATGCCGCGGCGATTTGTCAGCAGTACTTTTCGTTTCGACGCCAGGCCAACGAATCCATAGGGAACTTCTTGGTGAGGGAGACGCTGGTTCACGAGGAGTTCCAGGAGGCCATCATCAGGCTTCATGAGGAGAAGATGGGGATCACGCAAGAATCCAAGGACTTTGGACTCCCGCCGGTCCAAGAGGAATCCTGGCGTGATGATCAGTGGAGCAACTCATGGGATGATTGGTGGTACTACGGCCCGGACTATGAGGACGAGGATATCGATGGACATGAACAAGGAGGCGTCGATTCTCCCGAAGACCGCCCTACGACAACGACGGCTGGGGATGGACCGTCAACGGAAACCGCAGGTGGACCGATTCCTGGCGCTACCGGCTCGTCTCCGAGCCATCGAGAGGAACCTGTGGGCGATACTACGCCAAAGGCTGCATCTATTCACCCGAGTACTCGTCCCTTTGATGAGGCGGCAGAGCTCAAGGAGCCGCACAAGTCTGTGGATGAGCTCTCCATGACCGACTCCTTCATCATGAGCGTCCTCCGTGGTTGGAGGCTGCTTCAAGCAGCAGGCCTCACAGCGGAGGAGAAGAGGGATATCCTTTCGACGACACGCAACAGCTTGGACTATGAAGTCATTGCGCAAGCCCTCCAAGGACTCTGGGATGAGCAACTTCTCGGCCAAAGGTACCTCGGCTCCCCTCATGCTCACGCTTGCTACATGAATTCGAATGAGGCGGAGGCTTACTACCACGACCAGCACGACGACTGGTACCACGAGGAGGACTCCTGGAGCGATGGCTACGCGTACTACCACGACTACGATGATGGCTACGAGGACACATGGTGGGATGGTGGAGCAGACTACGGCTACCAGGCGACCACGGATGACGCCGAGCCCATCGACGATGAGAAGTACAAGGAGGCCAAACATGCTGAACAAGTGGCGGAGTCTCTAGCCCTTGAGGCTCAACGAACCTGGGCAGATGCCCAGAGAGCAACTCAAGCCTTGAGGCGAGATCGAGGCTTCGGCGCTGCGAGTGGCAAGGGCACTTCTAGCAATGGGAAGTGCTTTGCCTGTGGTGGAAACCATTTCATCAGGGACTGCCCAATGAAAGGGAAAGGCAAGCAGCGTTCCTACATGGCCGACGTCGAGGACTACGTGGCGAACTACGTTGGCAAGGGCAAGTCCAAAGGCAAAGGCAAGGGCAAGGGCAAGAGTGCCATGTGGCTGGATGCTTATGCTGCCTGGAAGGGCAAGGGTAAATCCAAGGCCAAGGGCAAGGAAGCGCCTCGCACGGTCAATGCTTACCACGCCAGCTCCGGCCACTACGACCTGAATGGACTTGAGCTCACGTCGACGATGGAGATGGCTTCGGCAACCTCGTCAAGTCGGACTCCTGAGATGGGTATGCTGGACTGCGGCGCCACTGCCTCAGCGGCTCCCGAAGCCGTAGTGAAGGACCTCATAGGTGTCATCCTGTCTCACGACAAGCAGGCAGTCATTGAAGTCGATCAGAGCTCGCGGCCATACTTTCGTTTTGGTGATGGGAGATGGGGTCGTGCACTGTATAGGCTTCACATATCTAGTGATGCTTCTGGTCAAACCTACAGCTTTGCCATCTATGCCCTGCCCAATCCTGCCGAGTACTACAAATCCAGCTTTGATAAGAACAACTTAGTGCCCATCCTCATCGGGATGGATTTCCTTGGCAAGAAGGGACAGTGCATGATCGTAGACTTTTCTACTGGCTTGTTTGTCAACACCCACGACACAACTCCAGAACCCGAACGCCTTCATGAAAATCATAAGGGACACTTCATGCTGGACCTGTGTCACTACATTACACGTGGCACCAAACGCCTCGAAGGACATGCACGTGTGGTGGTGTTGCCATCAACTGTGAGCCGATCGCACGAGCCAGAGGTACATGTGTTAGAGCTCCACCCTGTGCAGTTTGATTTGGCAGTCAGTGATGTTGAGTATGATCAGCGAATTCTGGAGCAGTCACGTCAGAGATTGTTGCAGCTTCACTCGCGCTCTCGGCAGTTGCAAGGACTTGATGCTATGACTTTTTCGACCGCAGCTGCTTCAGCATCGATGTGTCGAGCAAACGCTCAACCAACGACCCCGACAACTTCCTCTTCGACTTCCCTCTGTGATGGCGGCGCTCGCTCCTCCGGAGGAACAGGCGATGGTTTCGACATTGAGAACTTCGGCACCCAAGGCAAAGGCCAAACCATTGGATCCAATGAGGGCAATGAAAGGGGATCCGAGAGATCCCAGAGCCGATGCCAAGACGTGGCCTTGCTTCGGACGCCATCTTCCGGGACCGCCGGGGGCCAACAACCATGGACAATGGCAACGTTGCGCAAGGTGC